CCCCAAAACCCCAAAACCCCAAAACCCCAAAACCCCTTCTTGAGTAGAGATTATTGAATAATAAAATAGAATTGTTTTAAATGCCAGGAAGCATTTGCCATCCATGCGATAAATACCTTGGTTCCTTGATATTCATTGGTGCAAGCTCAGGGGTAGCATTGCTAATTTTTCTGTATTTCTCCTACAAATTCATACGTTTATACGGAATTACTTATAAATGAATGATCATGTTTTTCTGGACTCTTAACCTGTCCATTATTTTTCGTATCGTGCAGGTGTTCCACCAGTTCAATATCTCTAAGAAGTAAGTATTTACTGGGTTTTTGCTCGCAGAAGTGTAATAGTAAAGTCAAATTTGAGAGAGAAGTGGATTGATAGCATTCTTGTGCTTTAATTAATATTCATATAGAGAATGAAGCTACTTACCACCACATGTATGAAGGGGAGGAGTTATCACTTATCTGCCTCTTCTGCTGATGATTTCTTCCTTCATGTTCAGTTACTATAACTGGGTGTACCAAATTCGGTCAATAAATGATTATTTCAGCCTTATCAACCCCATCAAAAAGAGACTGACTGATGCATCTTAAGTAATAGTTCAGAGTATTATTGTTGGAATTTTAGTCTGGGTAATAGTCACTTCTTGTGCACTAAAAGATGATATCAAAGATGTATTCTGAATTTTTGTCTATGTTGTTTCAGTAATCTATGCCATTGTTGCAACAGTTTATATTATCATTGGGAAATATTACTACAGCAAGCTCAAATATTTCTCACCACTTCAAGCAAAGTCAATGAAGAAGAGGATCCTTCTAAGCGTCTTGTTTATTGCATTACCCTTGTATCTAAGAGCGATCGAAAATATTGTGCGGAAGTTAGTGCTCGACCGGAACAATTTCAGTTTCATCAATGATTCGATTAAAAACAATGATTTTGGCTACCCTGCTTTCAGCATAGCATGTTATTTTATCTGCGAACTTTTGCCAATTTGTACTATGATGATAGGGACCAAGGTAGTTATTAACCACTATTATCAATCTAAAAGTGATCATTATGGTGCTACTTCGGACAACAAGCTCAGCTTTAATTTACTTAGTGATAATCGAGAAATCTTCAGTATAAAAGAGAGCTCAAGAATTGAAAACACAGCTTTATCCAACTCTAAGGGCCCAGAGAGCACTGTGGGATTCATGAAGTATGTTGATGAACTATCTGGGAATGAACTAACCCCATCTTTCAGGGATAGTTTTGATAATTCTTCTTAATTTACATAACTATTTTTACTGAAAAGAATATTTTAGAAGGATTAAAATCAGAACACTTAGAAGATGATTCAACTAGTCTCATTTATTTTGGGGTTTTGGGGTTTTGGGGTTTTGGGGTTTTGGGG